GTCACAACCGGACTGCAGAGTCCGCTCAACGATACCACAAACGATCTAGCCAAGCATCTTCGACGCAGCATCGCCCGCCAAATCTTGAAGACGCATTCTGGGCGATCCCGCTGGCACGACGCAGCCGAGAAGAAGCAGTACGAAGAAATCGCCCAAGACAGAGTCGAACTAACCTCCTACAAAGGCGTAGGACTGTGGTCTCAACAGGACCCCGATCCAGCAACGCGTCCACGAGTAGAAGAAATTGGAGCATGGATGAAACGACAATTAGAACCTGGTTCCTTCTAGATAACCAAAAAAACGAACATAATAACATCTCCAATCCATCTCCCCCCTCACAACCCAAGTCCACACCGCTCAATCTCCCCCAGCGCCTTTTTCTCACAAACACCTCTTTCCCACGCAGCCACCTCCTTCACAACCATCTTCCCAGTCTTCCCACAAATATCCCTCTTATACGTAACCCCCATGCCCGCATCCTGCACAGCGCCCAGCACATAATGATCTAATTCCACATACCCCCAATGCGCCGCCTCAACCCTAACAACAGCCCAACTACTCCAGTGCAACAACGGCACACGCGGTCTCTCCTCTGTCCCTTCCCCTTCCCTAACGTAACCACGCAGTCCAGCTACCCGCTCCCCACGCGCGCTTTCCATCTCTTCGTCGGATAGGAAAGGGAGGAGGACTTCGCAGCTTGATTCCGCGCCCACGGAAAGCGGGAAGTAGGGAAAGGGATCGCTGGAATCGTGACGGTCCCTATGCAGGACTGGCGGTTCTGTAATCGAAGTTCGTGTCTTTTTCGTCTTGGGGTTGTACGTCCGGCATGAGATGTTGTAGTTCATTTGATTCTCCTCCAACAACACCAGCAACGCACGCACTTCCACACGCTCGGGATGTGGAACCAAAAACTCAAAGAACCCCCTCTTCTTGCTTTGCTGCCACATCGGCATCACCACCCACGGAAACCTCGAACTCACACCCCATCTCCGTGTACACCTCGTCTCCACACCACCATCGTCCACCCTCAGCGGAATAACACCCCGTTCCAACAACCGGTGTAACGCCCACCTTGCTTTCTTATTAGTCCCGTATTCATTCACCAACCGCCCCTGCATCGTAGAGACATGCTCAGCATGAAAAGGCGTATGCTCGACTCTTATATCGCCCTTCTGCGCCAGACCGATTAATCCGTACAATGTCGTCCAGTCGGAAGTTAACCAGGGTACGCGCCATGAGAGTTCTAGACTGCGGGCTTCTTGGTTGGATTTTGTGATTTTGAGGCGGCGGTGTGTGGCGAGGGAGTGGATGAGGGGGATGGAGAGGAGGATGAGGAGGTGAAGGAGGGTGGGTAGGGTGGAGAGGAGGAGGGAGGGTGGGGTGGGGGGTTGAGAGGAGGAGGTTTGGTTTGTGGGATCCATGGCGATGACGGTGGATGTTGTTAGGACGGCTGTGATTGTTGGGGTTGTTGCCATGCTGGATACGGATTATGGATGTCTTCTGGGAGCCGCGATGGGTATGCCACGGGTGTGTTGTAGTCATCCTTCGTCCCAGCGACTATGGACCAAGTCTGCATTGTACATGACAGACAAGCAAAGCGCGTCACCTTTGTGTCTTGTTGTTTGGTCAGTCTGTCAATGAAGGTCGCAGCTTTCTGCCCGAATCCGGCGTATCGCATGGCTTTGTTCACTTATAAAGGGAACAGGTATGCGAGTGCCGTCTCGTACTTCTTCACAGGAGACAATGAACTTGGACATCTAGATTTCCAACATTGAAACGGAAAAGTGTTGGAAAATGGTATTATGGGTAGACGTAACATAGTGTGATATTGCGATTATCTTCATACCTAGGTATCTATAAGCGATGCCAGACGTCTTCCCCACCTATTAAACGCCTAAAGGCCTAGACGAACAATCCTGTTTCAGGCCCTTTTGAAGACTATCAAATTGTGCCGTCCCATAATGACAGCGCGTAGAATACGTCATTCATGTTATCCTCCAGACTAAAGCTCGTCTCAAATAACAGCCCACCCTGATTCGATGATCTACAAATCAATCAAAGGCTCATCCACAACCTTCTGCTGCTGAACCGGCAACTGATTCTGCGGCGCAGACGGGAAACTCTCCGGCCCATAACCACCCGTCGCATAAGGTGCTGATTGCCACGCCGAAGACTGTTGCTGCTGGGGCGCTTGCTGTTGCTGTTGCCAGTACTGTTGGGGTGGCAGCGCTTGTTGCGGAGCTTGTTGTTGCTGTGGAGGTGCCTGCTGCTGCTGCTGCGGTGGAGGCGCTTGTTGCTGCTGAGCCTGTGGCTGATCTTGCCTGGGATACGGCGGGTTCTGCCATGCAGTCGTAGGTTGTGCGGGTGGGGAGATAGGCGTCTGTTGTGGTGGAGCTCGGGTGTATGCTTGTGGAGAGGGGGGTTGCTGTTGCTGGGATGGCTGGGAGCCGTAGCTTTGGCTTCGTTGCATTGGCGGCTGAGAGGGTTGCGCTGCAGCGCTGTCTCCGTAGTAGAAGCTAGCGCTCTCTGCGTCAGACACCGGAGGTGCTTGTGATGGATATCCTGAGGACTGTTGTGGCGGGTACTGCTGATTTGATACTTGACGCTGGAGTTGTGGTGAAGCAGGGTTTGGATATGAAGTATTAGGTGGCGGTTGTGCGAGGGTGGGGTATGGTTGTGAGGGTTGTTGGTACTGATCCTGGGAAGGAGCGTAGGACTGTGGTCGTTTGTCGAACTGTGGGTAGGGTGCTTGGTAACCACCGCCATATTGCGATTGCGGTTGTCCGTATGCACTCGAAGGGTCTGCGTTTCCTGTGTAGTAGTTCTCGCCCGATCCTGGTGCTCCTGACTGCTGTATGCTTGGGTATAGGTTGGCTGCCGGCCGTTGTGACGAAGCAGGGAGACCGTACATGGCGTTGGTCTGGTTGTTGTATGTGCTCGAAAGTCTCTCCTCGAGCATGCGATCGTAGTATCGAACGACGGTTGACAGCTTCGCGTGTAGGTCAAGTAGTGTGTCTGCTCCCGTTAGTACAGTTCCGATGGCGCGGAGGTGTAACATACCATGCTTGCTCATAGTCTCGCCATAGGTACGGGCAAGCTTCGGTCTCAACTTTCCAATGCTCTCGTACAGCTCTTGTATCTGTGGTTCCCGCAGGATAGTGCCAGGCGCTTGGTGTTGTAACCGGTCGACCAATGTGGAGAAGAGGTTGATGTTCTCGGCTTCGACAGGCGTGAGCTCGTAATCGTTCTTAGGCGCAACAAAAGGTGCTGATCCGTTCGCATTGGAGGCCTGTTCCCGGAAGGTCGTGGCATACTTCTTCTTTTGTTCCTCCATGTCAGCCAAGGAAGCCGCAATAGCGGCCGCCAGGTCGGCATCCTCCTCCTCTTCAGGCTGTTTCTTGCTCGTCCCATTCGTTGGCTTGGACTGTGACTGCAACTGCGACTGAGGCACAAAGCCGGAAGAGCTGTTTCCCTTGGCTTCGTCCAGACTCATCTCCAGCGCTCGCTTCAGGTCAGCATCGAAGCTGTCCTCAACGCGTGCATTTCGCGGCTCCATTGAGCCCTGATATAGCGTTCTCTGTGGTTTGGGGGTGTCGAAGACTCTCGGGAGCGGTGTTCCTCGCGACCGTTCGGTAAGCTTCGCATGGCAGCCATCGTCGACGCGCACAGGGTCCATGATGCCGAGATGGGGTAATGGGATGCTCTTGCTCGAGCATGCGCCACAGAAGACGTTTCCGCAGTTGCGACAGTGGTGCTTCCGGTTCGTGAAGGTAAAGGGCGTGCGGCACCGCATGCAGACGTCGGAGTCGGTCCACTCGGGAGGCTGGAATGTGTTAGTCCGTAGTAGTTGCGCATAGATGGATAACCTACTGCACTGCTGTCGAGCATACTGCTGGAGATGTTCTCCTTTGGAGGGAAGTGGTAGCCCTCCCGTTGCAGGCTGTAGTAGACCTCGTTGATATAGCTGAGGTTCTGGCGCCCTTCAGCGGCAGTCGCCCATGATTGTATAAGCTCGAGCATCTTGTTCTTCACATCGTTGTTGGGTGCGACGGTTGGAGGTGCCTTGAGCAGGGACGTCATATTATCGAGGAACTCGCGGGAAGCTATCTCTTGGATGAAGTGGGCGCCGCCGTTCTTAACGCACGTGTCTGTGAGCTGAGACAATTAGCAGAACTCGTGATGTTCCTGGAGGGTCATTCGTACGTTCAAGGTGGCAAGCTGGACGTTGGGGTTCTTATTCCCTATCCTCTTCTTCAATGCGCGCATGGCATCTCTAGGCTGCACCGTCTTGGAGCGAATAACGTCGGATATCTCGAGGTTGAGGGGCATGTCCTCTCTGACGTATGTTAGCTTGTATATTTCCATGAATTACGTCTCGGCTCAGCTCGTACAAGCTCGAAGAGGTGGCGCGCTCGATCTGCTCGTCGAGCGCGCCGGTGGTCGAGGACCCGAACCAGCCCGCCATGGTGTAGGGCGCTCCCAGTGGGTGAATGGGTTCCGGAGTGTCAAAGGTATGTATGAGCGTTTTGATAGCTGTTCGACTTCTAATTAGAGTTGCGGCTTGGTGGAGAGTAGCGCGTGGGGATAGTCGCTGTGGTGGTTAGGTAGCAAGCTGTCCGAGGTGAGGGCTTGGCGATGACGCCGGACGCCTCTGAGCCGCATCCACCGACGCATGCTTCAACCCTGCGAATCGCGGGACGGCCATACACGCCCAACGCCTTCACTCACGATACCCAAGTCGCCCCTGGAACCCGCCCGCCGCTGTAGAATCGCCGCCCGTTACTGCACGCCACTGCCCAATCACGCGCTACCCGATCCGCCCCGCATTCCCGATCAACACTGCCTCTCTGGCCACACGTACGCGTATTCGACTCCAGGTGCGCCTTGCTCGGACTCGAGAACATGCACGCCTGCCCGCCGATTAAAGTGTGTTTGTGAGTGCGGCACCTCCTCCGCCGCCCTCAGCACCTCCTTCGCCCGCCCACACCACCACCACCGCCATGAACGGCTACACCAATGGCGCGCACGGCGTCGGCGCAGACGGATGGGGAAGCGGCGACGGCGCTGGGGACTCCAGAGGCCCAGTTGGCCCATTCCCACCCATCGCCGAAATCATAGCCTCTGCGACAGACACGGCCGAGTCGCTAAAACACCATTCGGTACTCATCCAACACCGCCTCAGAGGTAACACGTTCATACGTCAGTCGCTGACCCGCACAGATCAAACTCCTCCTTGAACGAGCCAGGGGGCACTTCAATTCGGCCAAGAACATGCTCAACAACCGCTCTCCCGCCGGCGCCTACTGGGAATACATTGTCGCATACCAGATCGTCGCCGAACTGATACCCACCCACCGCGACTACTACGACAAGATCAACGGCAGCCGAAGCCAGATCCACCGCGACTTCAACGAGCTTATGAAAGAGATCAAGTCAAACGAAGAGCGGTTTGTGCGCATAAAGGACATTATAAAGAACGACAACAAGAGGAACGGCGCACACCACAGGACGACCTCTACACCCCCCTCTACAACACAAAGCAACCGCAATGGCATGATTGCGATGCGGAAAGACGACGAGCTGATGCTTCCTGAAGTCCCCACCGGGCTGCCAAACGGTCGAGCGTCACCTGCGGCCTCTCTGGATTCTTCACGGAGAAAACCCCCCGTGCAACCGAAGCCGCAATCGCTGCATGGCCGGGCCGTGCACCAAAGCATATCGAATGTTAACGGAGTGAATGATCTTGCTCAGCGGTTCGCGAATCTTAGAGGGACCGGTCCGCTAGTTGATACGTCGCCTCGCCCCAGCCAAGATTTGTCTGTCAAGATGCCCTCTCCTGCAGACTACCATTCTACAAACCGGATTATGGGTCCGCGGGGTATGCCTCCACCGCCTCTTCACATGCCTCCGCCGCCGCCGAAGCTGCCTCTGGATACACAATTCGCCGCTTCGCTGCCGAAAGAGCCTAGTCCTACCTATAGTCCAGCGAGGAACATCTCAGGTCCATCGAGCATCAACGCACCTCGGAGTACACCCAGGAGCTTGAACGGAACCGGGGGTCGTACCAACTCACTCGCCGCGTCTAGTGCGTCAGCGTACGCACCGAATGCGAATAGTGCGCCCGACTCATACTTTCCCGCGCAGACCCTCCGAGACGGCAATGGAAGAACAAGGTCTGTCAGCAAGACAGTCGAACTTGAGATCGATGCTAGCATGCTTTACGACTACTACCGCATGTACAATGTACTCACCATCGACGTGCGAGACAGGACAGACTTCGACGCGGGACACATCTTCGTGCGGAACATCATGTGCATAGAGCCCTTGACCTTGCGCGATGGCGACTCCGCCGAACAGCTTCTAGACCGTCTCATCATATCCCCAGACGAGGAACAGGACATGTTCGACAAGAGGGCCGACTTTGATGTAGTCGTATACTACGACGAGTCGACAAAGAACATTGACTTCATGCATAGACACAACCGATCTGATAGCGAAATTGCGTTGAAGCGGTTATTTGACACCCTGCACGAGTTTAATGCGGACAAACCGCTCAGACGTCCTCCGGTTCTTCTCAAAGGCGGTCTTGACGCTTGGATGGACCTGGTGGGCCCACAGGCTTTGAAGACGTCGAACACTGCTGGACAAGTGGCTGCTGGTCCGACGCGGGCTCGGGCTATCCGACGATCGCCAGCTGCCAGCCATATCGCGAGGAACAATACGCAAAGAAGATCAAAACGTGAATACGTTCCCATGGACCAAGAAGAGCAGCAACAGTGGCTCGAGGAAGCTCGAAAAGGGCGCGCTGCAGTGGAAGTTCCCCCGGCAGATGGTGAAGAGGAAGACGAACCTACGCAGGATTTCTACCGTTCGACAGAAGAGTTCCTACGCCGATACCCCGATGTTGAAGCCGAGCAGTCATCTATGATGTACCCGTCGAAGTTCCAGTCGACCAATCAATACGTCGCACCTGCCATACCTGTTGCACCTTCTCGTCCGCCGCCTTCTGTTCCTAGGGTGAGCTACAGTGGCGTACACGATCGGCAAGAACAGAATCGCAATGTCGTCTACAATGGACAACCTCAATTTAGTAACCTAAGGCTACATAGGACGGGCCTGCTGAATTTTGGCGTCACGTGCTACATGAACTCGGTAGTGCAGTGTCTCAGTGGACATCTATTGCTTTCGGACCTGTTTCTTACTGGAAGATATCAGCGAGATCTCCAGCGGGACAACTGGAAGGGAACAAAGGGGATTTTACCAGAAGCGTACGCAACGCTGCTGTCCAATCTATACAAGGGCGATGTCACGTCCGTGCGCCCAAGCACATTCAGGGTAAGTCAAAGATGGAAGCAGAAAATAGGCATGGCTAATTTTGAACAGCGCATCTGCGGACACTTCAACTCGCAGTGGGGCATTGATGAACAGCAAGACGCCAAGGAGTTCCTGGAATTCGTTCTAGACTACATGCACGAGGACTTGAACCTCACCTGGAACAAACCGCCACTCAAGCCACTTTCAGACCAGGAAGAGCTGCAACGAGAGAGATTTCCACGTCAGTATTCAGCAATGATTGAATGGCGGAGATATCAACATCGGGATATGTCCGTCATTGGTGGTCTATTCGCTGGTCAGCACGCGTCGCAGCTTACATGCCAGACATGCGGCGTGACAAGTACAACATACGAAGCCTTCTGGAGTATCAGCGTCGAGATTCCTCGAGACGGCGAATGCGACCTGCGCCATTGTCTCAACTCATACTGCGCACCAGAGCGTCTAGCAGGCGACGAACTATGGCGCTGCCCTCGATGCAAGAAAGATCGCGAGGCTGTAAAGAAGATCACCATCACCCGCGCCCCCGACACACTCGTCATCCACTTCAAACGCTTCAGCGCCTCGCGTACGGAAAGCGCACGGAAAGTCCGGACGCCTGTTAATTTCCCGCTCCAACGCCTCGACATGGGTCCCTTTGTCGAGCCACCCATGACGCCAGAACAAGAACGATATGTGTCTGAAAAGGCCCGAGATGGACCTGCGCAGCTTGCTGGTGTTAAGAGCGATCCTACTATGAATGGGCCGTATGTGTACAACGCCTACGCCGTTATTTGGCATATCGGTGCTACGCTTGGAAGCGGACATTACATCGCGTTCGTCAAGGATAAGTCTAGGGGTTGTTGGCGCAGTTTCAACGACGATAAGATTACGGACTTTGATCCTGGGAATCTTCCGCCGCACAACCGGCTGCAGAACGAGAAGGCGTATATTGTTTTCTATGAGAGGGAGAGGGTTGCTGGTGGTGCTTTCTAGCAAGACACATGTTGATAACACGTCCAGCGCGTTTGGTTGAGTGTTTACGCGTTATTTGACTTTTGGCGCTGCATCTTGGGTAGTTTGGGTAAGCGACAGTCTGGTTGAGATTATACTTTGCGCGTGCGACGAATTATGTCTCTGGGACGAACGGGGCATTGCATACTTGGCGTTGGGATTATATACCTTGTCGAATATTATTCCGTTGAGACGCATTAGTTGCTTGTTACGTTTGTGTGTAAACTTACTGTGATGTTTGAGCAAATCCACACAGCAAGATGGATACTAGAGATGGCTACTATTTGTGTCGCATTGTGTGCAGAATATCTGGGTGTAGGAGTATACATTACCTCAGATGCTGCCTACTAATGGAGTTTTAATAGTATGTATACTGTAAGCTGCAAACTGCGACACGAACTTCAGCTACCTTTGCTAAGGGCTATCCAGAGTTCAGCTCCGTCGTGAGGCTGACAGGGCAGCCGATGATCGGGCAGCAGGGATGGTGAGGGACCGAACATTTTTTGTGCCGATAAGATAAGGTTTCTGACTCTCCACACCCGTCGTTCCCCAGACGCCGCAACCCCTCCTTCAATTGACTCTTCTTGACTCTTTCTTCTCACTTACTTCTTATACCCAAACACTTGCAGATATGTCAAAGGGACGCGTTTGCCTTGCTTACTCTGGTGAGTACTTCTGCAACAGCTAATATTATGCCAATTGCGTCAACTGCGTTTCTGCGTTCACCTGCGTTCACCTGCGTTCGACTGCGTTCACTTGCTCAGAGACAACGAAGTAACCTGAGTCATTAGGCGGCCTCGACACCTCCACGATCCTGAAATGGCTCATCGGTACGTCAGAAGCACATTCAGAAACCCAACACGATCTAACGCGTAGACAAAGAGGAGGGCTATGAGGTCGTCTGCTTCCTCGCCAACGTCGGCCAAGAAGAGCCCTGGGACGAGGTGGAGAAGAAAGCGCTCAAGATTGGCGCGAAGAAGATGGTCATCCTAGACCTGCAGAAGGAATTCGTCGAGGAGCTCTGCTTCCGCGCCGTCCAGTGCAACGCCTCGTACGAAGGCCGCTACCTCCTCGGCACCTCGCTGGCCCGCCCCGTCATCGCCCGCGCACAGATCCGCGTCGCGCAACAAGAAGGCTGTGGGTTCGTCTCGCACGGCTGCACAGGCAAGGGCAACGACCAGGTCCGCTTCGAGCTGGCTTTCTACACACTTCAGCCTACTATCAAGGTTATTGCGCCGTGGAGGCTGCCGGAGTTCTGCGACCGCTTCAAGGGCAGGCAGGATCTGCTGGACTATGCGGAGCAGCATGGTATTCCTGTTACGTCTACCAAGGCGAAGCCCTGGTCCATGGACGCCAACTTGGCTCACTGCAGTTACGAGGCCGGTAAGACACCACACATCTAGATTGTATATTCAAGACTAATGATATAGGCATCCTCGAGGACCCCGACGTGTCTCCCCCCGACGACATGTGGACCATGACCGACTCCCCGCTCAACGCCCCCAACGAACCCACCGACATAACCGTCCACTTTGAAAAGGGCATCCCCGTCAAACTCACCACCCCCACCAAGACCTACACCGACTCCGTCGAGCTCTTCACCGCGCTCAACAAGCTCGGCTTCACCCACGGCATCGGCCGCATCGACATCGTCGAGAACCGTTTCATCGGCCTCAAATCCCGCGGCTGCTACGACTCGCCCGCCATGACCATCCTCCGCCTCGCCCATCTCGACCTCGAGGGCCTCGTCATGGACGCCCAGGTGCGCAACCTGCGCGACCAATTCGTATCCCACAACTGGAGCTACCAGCTCTACAACGGCATGTACTTCTCGCCCGAACGCGAGTTCATCGAGAACAGTCTGCTCTTCTCGCAGCGCAGGGTCAACGGCGAGGTTAGGATGAAGCTGTACAAGGGTAACTCGTATGTGCTGGGCCGGTCCAGTCAGACGGAGAAGCTGTACTCTGAGGAGGAGGCTAGTATGGATACGTTGGATAACTTTAGTCCTATGGATACTACGGGCTTTATTGCTATTCAGAGCATTCGGTGAGTTTATACGTCTAGTCTTTGGATTGGAGGGTATGGATGGTTTGTGGATGGTTTGCTAACGTGAAATAGTCTCAAGAAGTACGGGCTCCAGAAGGCGGAGGAGGGCGAGAACATGTCGAGGGCTTAGAAGGCTTCTTCTGATATGCATACGACGCTGACGTACTGGCGGAGATGGCTGCATCGTGAGAATCTTCATGATCAGGTCACTTATGCGAGTCCTGAGGTTACGCCGAAGGGGAAGTCGGGTTAGGATTGGGGGATTACGGCATCCGGACGAGTATGATGAGATGAGGTGGATAAAATAGATACCAATGATAAAAGTCATACTAATAATCTGGTACTGTGTCTGCGTGTTGTCTGGTAATGAGAGATCCACTGAGCCTGTTGTCACGGCATAACCACACCCTCTAAGGACCATAGCTAAAGCTACCCTGATACGCACATTCCATCTTCAACGCGTAAATGAGCAAAGTCCAACATACTGCAACAACCTCATTGGCTGACGCGACTGCCAAGCACTAATTTCCAAACGGGGATTGAAGCTCTTCCGAGCGTTCCGATGTCGCTCGCTACCAGGATGTCCAACGTCACACTCAGGTTTGCGATGTATGTTCTTGCACCCGGAGTGTACCTGGTCGTCGTCTCTTCCTTCCTTCCATCTTCTTTGTGAAAATTACCGCCAGTCTCGCAGCTCCCGTCTACATGTCTCCGCGTCTTTTCTGCTCTCTCTCTCTCTCTCTCTTCTCTAGACTTGTCCATTCCAGCCGTCGCGTCTTACACATGGTCATCTGCCTCTGTCTCCTTCCAAGGTTGTATCCCGCGTGCATGATCCCTTCTTATCCACCTCTTCCCTCGTCCGCATCCTCACTCACCCTCTTCTCTTGCCTCCGTTGTGCCTCAACCCATTCCTCAGTAGTTGCATAGGAGACAGGGTATGTTGCCTCGCTTCGCGGCCGTGTCGTCGGTCTCGGCTGCTGCACGACAAAGTTCTCGACGTAGCCTGGCGCATACATCGTACCCTGCTGCTGTACGAAGTTGTTGTTGACGGAGCCTGGCGCGTACATCGGACCTGGTTGCTGCATGACGACGTTGTTGACGGGACCTGGCGCGTACATCTGGCCCGGCTGGAACGTAGGCTGGAAATGCGCCTGCTGTGGAGCATACATGATCGGCGCATATGGACTTTGGTAAGCCCCAGCGGTGTTGTGGCCGGCAAAGGTAGGTTCCGGAAGGGGTTGCTGGTAACCGGGAGCAGGAGCAGGAGCGGGATACCGATGAAAGATCGGACGTGAAGCCATCTGGTTAAGGCTGTACGATCCATCTGACATATCCCCGGACGAATGCAACAAGAACTTCTGGAAGTCCAAAAAGTCGGACTGGTATTGGGCGTCTCGGCCACTCTCGTCAGGCAGCCCATTCTGAACTGCGTCCAAGTTCAGTCCGGCTTGCTCAAAGTCCTCAGCTCGCAAGACATCTTCCTGGAAAGTATTACTTGAAGGCTGATGCCCCATAGCATGCGAAGGGCCATGGCCCAAAGTACCCTGACTCGAGTTCGAAGGAAACCTCATTAGATCCGCATCAGGGAGGACATTACCAAACTGGTGTTGTGGGTAATGCTGGTATTGCTGGTATTGCTGCTGCGGCTGTACGAAGTCCATACGCGAGGCTGGTGACGTAACAGCATGCGGCGCATAACCCGCTCCCGGATGGGCAGCAAGGGAGTTGCGAGGTGCAAGCGAATACGGAGCATATCGCTGGCTGCGCACGCTGTTTCTCGGCGCAGTTCTACGACCAGACTGCACATTTGTTGCTGCATGTAGTTGGTCCACATGCTCTCCTCGCGTGTGGATGGCCAACTGTGGAGGACCAGGAGTCGGCATGGTTGGCAGAACTTGAGGCCTGCCCTGCGCGAGCGCGAGTTCGGCATCACTCAGGTCCGCTGCATTTGTGATATTACCGTTAACACCCCATCTTGCCTTTGGCGATCCCGGAAGAAGCGGCCGTTGTCGCCGCGGTGGTGGTGGTGTCGAGTCTGCACTGCGACGTTTGCGAGCCATCTTGAATGGTTAGATTACCAGGGAAAGATATGTCAGTAAGGCTAAAAAAATGTTGCTAATAAGATTGCAGATGTTGGCGAGCATGATTTATACGCAGCGTTTTCAGCACGCGCAGTGAAGTTCGCTAGAAAATACCAACTGGGACATGGTAAGAACATCTATCCGTGGTTCGACAACGTTTAACCATAGGTGTTTCTTCTACGCTACACACAGCAAACAACATACCAATATCATATTTCCTTGCCCCGGGAGAAGCGCCTACCTGAAGCACGCGTACATGTCCCTCTCGTCTCGGCCAAAATCAGCGACTGCCTCCGTAGACCAGCTCCTCCCGCCTCGTTGCAGCCACGCTTCATGTTCCAGGTTCTCCCAGATCGAATCGGCAAAGGGCTCTACAGGTGGCATTCGCTTACGATGGGCTTCCTTTAGTGCCTGGCTTGTCCGCCTATCCGCGTGCACGTTACTGTCATCCCGCGGTTTCTCCGAGCGCCCCCCACGGATCACCATATCTGTTTCTGTAGTTCCACCGCTAGGATCAACCTTAGTTTCACTACGCACCCTCCCTGGGCGCCCACCACGGATTACCATGTTTCTCTTGATAATTCCACCGTTGCTACCAACCCGACCATAGTTACGTTTCTCCGTGTGCATCCTGCTACCATCCCGCACTTCCCTCGGGGGCCCACCCCGGATTACCAGCTTTGCGACTTCACCGCTTCGACCAACTCGACCATAGTTACGCATTTTTGGGGCCTTGGGTCGCGACTTAGCTCGCTTCTCTTCTAATTCCCGCAGAGCTCTATCTAGCGAAGCGTTGTCCTCCTCCGGCGTTCGCGCGTCATCTTCGGACTCGCTGATCCATTGATCGATTGCTAGGGGTGAGCGCGGAGAAGATGGTGAGTCTGGATCTTCGTGGTCATGTAATTCGGAGGACGGAGAAGGGTGGCTGACTGTTGCGATGTCCATGAACTCCTCCGCTAGACCTGCCATGTCAGTACCAAGGAGGCTGTTAACTTCGTCGTCTCGTTTGCGCTGTGCCTTGCTTTGAGCGGTTAGCGGGACCTGGATATCGTTGACTTGGTCCGCTAGGTCGGTCATCTCGCTGTCGCTCATGTTGGTTAGTGATGGTGCTTTTATGATTTGAGTAGCTGATGTGGACAGGAGTGAACATCTGAAGGAGGACAGTTTCTGTGCAGTATTTAAAGTCGACTAAGATGCTATATCGAGACAGCATTGTCTTGTATAGGCTGTCTTTCGTTTGTCTTAAAGCTCGGTCATGTCACCAGGCTTCACTTTGGCGTATTTTAGGATCCCATGACAATGCAGCAATGAAACAACCACAGTCTATTACAATTTTATACGTATCATAAGTATCCCACGCACCTACTCATACAAAGAAAAGTATCTACCGCTCTGCTGTGTCTCCGATCGATAGTCTCAAGCACTGTGACATGTGACCGTAGTCTTGCAATGTTTCAAACAAGTCGTAGTCACCTCAATCAAGCATAGCTTCCACCAAACATACTGACACTGCGGCCCATTCGCCAAGCACCCCAGAGCACCATACCCAAGATGGCTAGATTGGCAAATTGCCTGCAGATGACGAGCAGGAAGGTCGTAGCCAAGACGGAACTGTCTGACCATCCGGAGGTGTCGACGTAGAGCAGGATAATATCGTAGATGATGAAGATGTCGCGAAGCCAGATGAGAGGCACCACGGTGAAAGCGAAACGAGCGAGATCGTTGCGTTCGGGTGACTGTGAAGCGTTAGTAACAAAACTTATATATTGTCATTAACGGCAAGACTTACACCATGAGCATTCTTGTTCGTGGTACCATACTCCCTCCACACTTCGATGGAAACACTGAGACTGGCTGCGACAACGATAGCTTCGTGCACGATGTAGGTAATTCTTGTCGCACGGTCATGGTGCATGACGTTGGACCAAGACAAGAGCGCATCCGGGCCTGAGCTACCGGTACTAATGTCCCGTGCCTCCAGACCCAGACCCCACGCTGCGACGCCGGTACCTAACATGGCAATCATAATGAACGTATTACAAATCCGCGACATGGTCTTTGGCGTCGAGATACCTGTACCGTTCTCCTGGACATGACTAGAGTGAATCCATACACCGCCGTTAAGCAACACAGTGAAGAAGACAGTCGCGAGCGTTGTGGCGAAAGTAAGCGCTGAGATGCTCGAAGCATAGTCACTGCCCGTGAGAGTGTAACCGCGACGGCCGTTCCATCCTAGGTCCGCATCGTAGTCGATCGTTCCGCTCGTCTTCAAGACATCGGATATGAAGCGACATAGGTACGCGACGAAGAGACAGAGAAGGGCGGGCCAGAGGAAGAGGTATGTTCCGAGGGTTGTTTTTAGCGGGCCATCGCGCGCGCTATTCTTGCCTGGTGCGGTGAAGCGGCGCTGTTTGATCCGCTGGAAGGTAGGCTTCGAAGCCAGACCAAGGAAGATCAGAGCGCCGGCTGCGGTGATGACATCGAGAGCGAAAACGGCTTGGTAGGATTCTCGTTCGTTGGTGATGTTGATGTTGGACATGGCACGCTGTGTGATGAAGCGCGTGGGCAGTTCGACTCCGTGAAGTTGAATTGCAGCAAAGTCGGAGCAAACCCCATCTTTGAAGGCATGGCAAATGATGAAAAAGCATGTCTAACACATATGACGTTGACTGCTGTCACAGGCTTGGCAATACGGTGTTGTGTGGATCTCTCCGGATGTGAGTGCCGATTGATGGCGGTTCCGGCAAGGACGGCAGGTATAGCGAAGTTGTCGTCTGGTATCTGTCTCGGCTGCTGCTCCCAGCACATCGTACAAGATACGAAAACTGTGTGTTGAATGGGTGAATCGTATAAGTGGATGCAAGCGTACAGATGATGCCGTGGTTCTGGTCAACCTGTGGAGGTTGGGGAGCAGTCTAGCAGGTATCTGGTTTAGTCGGCGGGAGGAGCGCGGACGCTAATTCATCGCCTAACCGCTTCAGGATCTGGCAGTTCGCCTCTCCTCCCATTCCGTCCCACCCGTTTTCTCGAGACAAGTCGTTCTCCTGGCGCATCTAGTTCCAGTGTCACGCCTGATTTTCGACATCATGGGAGGCTGAACATCCATTGGATGTGGTACAAGACCACCAGCACACTGCGCAACACGGTTAGAGGCATTCATCGGAGTCGTTGACCTGGCTTGCAAGATTCGCGAACATACGCTGATGCAGCTATGCGATGAAGACTACGAAGCGCGATATCGTACTACAGGATCGACCTGGACTAAAGAGACTGGTAAGCATAGCAAGAAGAAAGGGTCAAGTTTCTTAAGGAATTGACGAGTTCTGCTGAGCGAGGACAATCGTGGTTCGCTACTCATCGTCTTTGCACTAGTATTTCAAGCTGAGATGTATCGTTGAAGGCGATAATAGTCGAGTAAAATATGACGAGCTCTCATTACGTTCACCTCGTGGCTTTGAGAGCCTCGGTGGTTACGTCATGTTGACGCGCATCAGTGTCGCGCTAGTCGGCCTGCAAGAAGACGCGTCGCGTGATCGAGCGCTCATCCATCTCAATTCATCATCCACACGACAGAATTCGTCTCGGCCAGCACGCGCAACCTCGCATTGCGCTATTGCACTCTTCCAGATGTAGAATGAGAAACTCCGATCCAACACTCCCTTGCGATGGACGACAAACGCATGCAGCACGCACGGCCATGCGGCGTCCGGTCAACGCTCCTTGAGGGCAGATGATGGAAGTCATTCCAGCCAACCACCGGAAGCCATTTTCTTATAGCAGCTTTGCGATAAACCCGAGATTTTTCTGGCTTGCGGCTGTGTCCACGCGAGTCCAGTCAGCCACCGGTCCTAATGCGGTAGCGAGATCCAACCTTCATTTGCTCGTGTTTGCCTCACGAAACCAACACATTAACATCTCAGACATTCTACAACCCTTCGTCGATGTCACTGTCAGAACCCAGGAAGCTCAAATCTGACTAGCGAAGGTCGTGCATCCCATCACGCCCCCTGCCTTCACACATGAGTCGATCTTGCTGTGCCTCATGAACGCATCTTCCCCTGGAATAGCGGAGGGTTTACCTCATACAGCCCAGATTGACATTGTGTTCAAGAAGAAGTCGACTACAACTCGACCGCTTGGTAGAGAAGATGTTGCTTGTATCAAAGCCTTCACCTGACCAGAACGATCAGTCGCTACGTTCTTCTTGTGAGTGTCGGCTACCTGGTCACCTTTTCCCACGATCACAACTGTTGATTAAAGGCGCATATCGGAAGTTGACAGGCGACTGATGCATGCTCAAAGCAATTCGGTTAACCGGAAGAATCCTTTCAGCTACTTGCCCAACCCCACGTAACGTGGTTGTTTCCCAATCCGTACGAATCCTACATGGCCAGGGTCGCTTCCCACAGCATGGTACCCACTATAAAGCATGACTACGAGTCAGTCTCCGAGGAGCTGTCTCGACAGACAAGACTGGTTGAGGGAGCAAATGGATTTCGGTTGATCGATACATCTCTTGAACCTATTGGACATCATTCTAGATCTCACAATGAGCAAGATTCTACTCACGGGCGCTACAGGATACGTTGGTGGCACTGTCCTCGCCCAGCTCATTGCAAGCACAGCACCGAGTATCAAAGATCTCACTTTTGACCTCCTCATCCGCGACGAAACGCAAGCTCAGAAGCTCAAAACCGTATACGGCTCCCGTGTAAACACCATCAAATGGTCCGGTCTGGAAGATGTAGCCTTCATCGAAGATACAGCATCCAATTACGACATCATCATCAACACAGGCTCCGGCTTCATTCCTGAAGGCGCCACTGCCTTTGTCAATGGACTCGCTCGCGGCATCAATGCTGGCAAGCCAGCGCCATGGATACTGCACATATCAGGTTGCACCAATCTGTCCGACCGTCCCATATCGCAACCCCCACGACCCATACGAGAATGGAACGACGAGACAGACAAAGGCAAGA